CTGGCTAGTCCAACAATGGCTGACTCCTGATGGAAAGGCCAACAAGTCTGTAGGTGTTTAATCCATGAAGCTCAATGTCTTAACCAGCCTTCAGTCTAAGCTGCAGTCCCAAAGAAGTAGGTTCTAATACCAGTGAAGAAATGCCTCCGGGACAGGAGAGGCAACGCTGCCATCAAAGGTAAGGACAGACAGGCAAGCTGTGAAACTGTAGGATGGGAGGTCGGATGGCAGAGGTGGGGTCTGACAGTTTCAGCCCAAGCCTGTTTCCGGTTCCCTGCTCACCACGAACAAGCCCCTGCTGTGGGCTCCCACTGCCACTAACCTGCTGCGTGGCGCTGTCCCTGCGATGGTGACTGAGCGCCCTCCAAAATTGCAAGCCCACATAGACCTTGACCCCACGGTTGTTTCTGACAGGCACTTAGTCAAAGCAGTGGGAAGGAGAACCGACACAGACAAAACGGGGCACTTTTACTTCCTTCCCACATATCAGCTTTTCTAATTCTCCTGTTAGGAATCTGACCTGTTTTGTAAGATAAAAACCTACGATTTATGGCAGCTCGTTGCGTGCGAGACTGGTCTACAGTACTCTCCTCAGAGAGGCAGAAGTGAATCCTCCGTGCTAACTCCAGCTTCCTTCCAAAAGCAGGTTGCTCAACGCTGCAGTCATGGGTTCTCGGTTCAGCTTAGAGTCTTCCAACCCACAGGCCTGCTGCCCACCTGACTCTGCCCGGTCCCTGTTATCCACACCTGGCTCTGCCCGGTCTTCTTTCTGGAAGCCCAGTGGGAAGGAACGCAGGAGAAATGTCAGTGTTCACCTCTGCCTGTGAGCTGAGAGGAACTCCACAGGCTCACTCTGGGGTCACCTCTCTAGCATGAAGATCTTGAGGCCAGCCTTGGTGGTGGCCCCGGGTGCCTCCTGCCTCCCTGCCTTCCTGGAGTCTTGGGAGGTGGCAGCTCCACGAGCAGTCTATTCCGCAGTACTGTGAGCTGTCTGGAGACCAAACAAGATCCCTTCAGGCTATTTCAGAACTGCGAAACCATCCTGAGTTTTAAATAGCTGGTTGTTTGCTTCCTAAGACACATCCTGACTCATTTAAGGGTTCCCGAGCAACTGGGAGATATACCTGGGCTGAAGGAAAACATATGTTACGACAGGTGGAATGGAATTTTTTCAGCGCCATCAGTACATCACATAAACTGCAAGAGAGAGAATGAAACAACCAACAGCTCTGCTAAGTTGAACAAATGACCAAGATCCCAAGGCGGCGGCAGCAGCAGCAGCAGCAGCAGCAGCAGCAGCAGCAGCAGCAGGAGGGGGCACAGATTTCCTATCTCTTGCTAAGACAGTCTAGTATAGTCTAGGAATAGTGCAGCTTCAAACCTTCCCTGTGGGCCTCTCCTCAATGAGATTAAGGGGGAGCTTGGGTGGAGCAGGCTTGACAAACTAAATGGGTCAGCGTCAGAGTCAGCACCCTGGGCTCTCCTTGCTGTAGCGTCAACCCTGTGTTTCTCCTTCCCGTGCAGGTGGGTGCTCAGAACTATGGTGCAGCCGCTGTGCCAGGCACTCTGACCTCTTGCTGGCTTCCCACGTGAAGTGGCCTGGCTTTGCTTGGCCCAGGGCTGAGAAGTACAAGCAGCCCCTCAGTGTGGCAGGAGACACTGTACTCTTTCTAATACAGTAGCGATTCTTGCCCTCTTCCCAGTAGCGTGGCGTCTTTCCTTTCTCTAGGCCTCTATGGGCCACTGGTCTAAGTGTTCCTATCCCCCCTCAGGTATGTGTGGGATTAACAACAGGTCCTTGGCGACTCTCCCGCAGGCCACAGGGGCCAGAGCCTGCCCTATTGTCTTAGGCAAGTACTCGTCCCTCTGCAGACGTGCTAGGACAAGTACTGGGAAGGCCGTAGCATCCATCTGGACGTGGCTCTTCCTGCCCCGCCCCCTAGACAGAGCTGGAGACTCAGCTGGGGAGTCTCATTTACATCATAATGTCATAATCTACTCCCTGTTGCCAGGTAAAACTGAAGTTCAGGTAACAATGACTCAGGCTATCCCTTTTATGACAGCAACAACTGGCAAAGTGCTGAGAAGAAGTGAACTGTTGGGCACCCAGCTCTAAACGAAACATCTGTATTAGCCCTCCCTCCCCACAAGACTCGGGGTTAAGAAGAGGGAGGGGATGGGGAGGAACACTGTGAAATTGTGCCTCCTGGATAGGACACGGCCATTGCACAAGCAAACTTCCAGCATCGGTGGTTACCTACACAGGATCAAACCAGCAGGAAGATCCGTCAACGCTCCAGCAGGAAGTGCTAACTGGACTCAGAAGACTACGGAAAAGAAACAAGGAGTGAAGTGAGGAAGGAGATAATGTTGGGAGTGCCTGGGGAGGTGGGGGGAGGGGGGTTGGATATGATCAAGACACGTTGTTTGAAACCTGTTCAGTTGAAAAAAAAAAAATGAAATTGCTGATACCAGCACCACTTTCCCCCTTTAGAGAATGTTTGATATCAAAGCCCAGATGTTTCAAAGCTTCTATAGACAACACAGACACACAGCTGTTTAGAAAAGGTTCTTAACTTTGTTAGTGCAGCGTGGTGAAAGATTCATGAATTTTTTTTTTAAGTGTATGTCAAGAATGCAAAACCTGGGCTGGAGAGATGGCTCAGTGATTATGACCACTGGCTACTCTTCCAGAGGACCCAGGTTTGATTCCTGGCACCCACATGACAGCTCCCAACCATCTGTAACTCCAGTTTCAAGGAATCGGATGTCCTCTTCTGGCCTTGGTGGGCACCAGGCATGTAGGTGGTACATGGACACGCATGCAAAACACCCATGTAAATAAATTTAAAACTCTTTCTGAAATGCACAACTTCATTTTCACATAGAATCCTGGGACTGGTTTGTTATGCAGAGTAAATGTGGAAAACAAGCAAGTGACCTCGAAATGACAATTCTTCCTGAAAGGGGTGTGTGTGTGTGTTGCTAGAGATGGAACCCAGAGTCTCTTGCATGCTAGGCAGGCTGTACTAGTGAGCTCCATCTGCAAGCCTTGTAGAAAGAGACGTTGACTACAGTTCTGCATAGTTAACTAGAGTCACCGTGGCTGATTGAACTGGGACCAGCCACAAGGAAGCTGCTATTGGGGCAAAAGGTAGGACCATGGAATGCAAATGGGGCTCATAGAGAAGGAAAGAGGCCACCTGGAAGGACATGTATGTCTGCTATTATGTACCTCTCAGGCACATACTGAGTACGGCAGTTTGTTCCTCAGGTATTTGCAAGTTGAAAGTTTGCTTCTAGTATGGGAGTGTTGAGCGTCTTCGTGGGTTTGGTGTCTTTGTGGGTTCTTCCTTCAGGAGGGGCTGAGGTGGTTCTCATGGGATCCTCAGTTAGATCTTGTAAGGGGAGTGTCCTGGCTAGTTTTCTTTCAACTTGACACAAGCTGGAGTCACCTCAGAGGAGAGTCCCTGTTGAGAAATTGCCTGCATGAGATCAGGCTGTGGCCAAACCTGCAGGGCATTTTCTTAATTGGCAATTTGATGTAGGCAGGCCCCAGCCCATGATGGGTAGTATTACCGATGGCCTAGTGGTCCTGGGCTCTCTAGGAAAGGTGGAGCAAGCCATGAGCAGCACTCTTCCGCGGCCTCTGCATGAGCTCCTGCCTCCAGCTTCCTGCCCAGTTTGAGTTCCCCCTGCCTTGGACTGATTCAGGATTTGTAAGCAAAATAAGCCCTTTCCTCCCCAAGTTCCTTTTGGTCATAGCAGTAGTCACCCTAATTATGACAGAGAATACTTACAGTCCTCCCCATGCTCTGACTTCCTGTGTCATCATGTGAGTTTCTTATTTGTGCTGTCTTCATTGTTGAGACCTCATTATCTGCTGCGAAGCTTCCATAAGAGCCAAACAGATGTTGGCGCCATCCCCTCTGGAACTCTGAGCTAAGCAAATCTCATGTCTTTATAAAGTAAACAGCTGCAGTTGGTTTGTTATGGTAATAGAAAAGCAGATCAGCATAATCAATGAGTCATTAAGAGAAATAAGGGCCTAGAGAATCCTGGAGAAAAATTATAAGAAAGTTGTTTATAGCCAGGCACATGCCTAGTACTCCCAGCACTGGGGGAGGCAGAGGCAGGTGGATCTCTGTGAGTTCGAGGCCAGCCTCTTCTATAAAGCAAGTCTAGGACAGCCAAGGCTACACAGAGAAACCCTGTCTTTAAAAACACAAACAAAACTAAACAATACAAAACAAAAAAAGTTGGTTGACCATTTGGCTAAGAGTAGAATCCAGGATAATATTTGAGCATGGGCTTTGAACCTTGACCTCTCCTGGCCGTGTAACTTCTCTGAGGCTCAGTTTCCCCATCTGAGGAGCTGATCACAATGAATCTTACCTCAGTGGCTGGTTGTACTTGAGGAAATAATGCCTGTTTATGGATCTGTAGCCCCACACAGCATGACCACCGGGTCTGAGGCTGCCATGAAGCTCTCAAATGCCCCTGTTGGGACTACCACTTGGGCACATCAGCGGTAGAGTGCTGCCTTAGTATTTCATAGTTAGCATATTCTGTTCTTAGTTTGACTGTAGAAGAAACATCTAAGAAGGACCAAAAATGAATCGAGATAAGAGGTTGGACGTGAACAGGGTTCAAGCAGGAGCCCCCAAAAAGTCAGCCAGGAAACGGAGCCATCAAGGGAAAGCGAATGAAAATAACACCAATGGTAAGAAGGAAAGGAAGGGGGTTGCCTTAGGGATCTCTGAATTTGGGGAGCTGTTGGCAGTGTTAAATCAAGAAAGGAAAGTTGTTAAAGCAAAAAAAGACACATAAAAGACCCCTGTAATCACTGATGCTTGGCTGTCTGGTGAATGAAGTTACTCAGGTCTGTACATCATTCATCAGATTCATTCATGATCTCTAAGAATAAGTCTTCCTTGGTATAGTCAATCTTTTGTTCCTTGTTTTGCATTTCTATTTTATTTATTTATTTTGTTGTTCAGAAAATCCATTACAGGTTCTATCCAAAAATGAGACTTTTCTGGTCCCAGAGTTCTTGGATACAGCTCAGCCCAAAGAGAAGACCGTTGTTCCCAGGCTCAGCAACACACTCCGTATGTCCACAGAGGAGTCTGAGGCCCCACAGCAGGTTAGTGTCACCCCCACGCTACTAAAGAATGCCATCTATCCCAAACATGGAGTTAGCTTCAAGCCCTCACCAAAAACCCTTGAGTTGAAACAGGAAAACATTTCTAAAACCTCAGCCTCCCCCATGCAGGCCACACATAGCAATATCACTAAGTCCTTGGCAAAAACCACCTATCCCAAACAGGGGACCACCCACAAGCTCACAGCAAACAGCATCTACCACAAGAAGGGCAACACGCCCAGGTTATCAGAGGATACCATCCAATCCAATGAGGATAGCATGTCCAAGTCCCCAGAAGACAAGGAGAGTGAACTCCCCATGTCTTCACAGGACACCATCCTGTCCAAAGATGGTAAAATCTATAAACCTTTAAAAGACGGTATCATGATCAAGGAGGGTAAAACATACAAGTTTTTAAAATTCAGCACCCTGTCCAAGGATGGTAAAATCCAGAAGCCCTTAAAAGACAGCGCCATGTCCAAGCAGAGAGAAATCCCCAGATCCTCATTTGACACCTTCCTGTCAAAGGACAGTAAAGTCCTGAAGCCCTTAAGAGACACGGACAAGGAGAGTGAAATCCCCAAATCCTCATTTGACACCTTCCCATCAAAGGCAGGTAGAGTCCAGAAGCCCTTAAAAGACAGCGCCATGTCCAAGGAGAGAGAAGTCCCCAACTCCTCGCCTGACCCCCTCCTGTTAAAGATGGGTAAAATCCTGATGAAGCCAATGTCCAAGGAGAGAGAAATCCCCAAATCCTCACTTGACACCATTTTGTCAAAGCCAAGGAAAGTCCAGAAGCTCTTAAAAGACAGCATCATAACCCAGGAGAGAGAAATCCCTAAGTCCTCACAGGACAACACCCAGGCCAAGGAGGATAAAGTCCAGAATTCTTTAAAAGCTATCGTCATGACCCAGGAGAGTGAAATCCCCGAGTCCTCACAGGACAACATCCAGTCCATGGAGGGTGAAGTCCAGAATCCTTTAAAAGATGGCATCATGACCCAGGAGGGTGAAATCCCCGACTCCTCACAGGACAACATCCAGTCCATGGAGGGAGACACTTCAAAGTCCTCAGAAAGCACCACCCAGCCTAAGAAGATAGTCATCGTTGAGACCCCAGAAGGTTCTATCCACTCTGATCAGGGAGACATCACTGAGACCCTAGAAGGTACCACCCAGTTCAAGGAGGGAGACATGGCTGAGTCCCTAGAAGATACCACCCAGTTCAAGGAGGGAGACATCGCTGAGTCCTTAGAAGGTACCACCCAGTTCCAGGAAGAAAGTGTCATCAAATTTTCAGAAGACACCTTGAAGCCCATGGGAGTCTTAATCCCACATTTTGATGAGGATACAGTATCCTTGGACGATGATATGGTGAGAGTGATCACGGGCAAGGAGGACTTTGAGGAGATGCTCAAGGAAGCTGGAGAGAAGCTGGTGGCCGTGGACTTCTCGGCCGTTTGGTGTGGGCCTTGCAGGACCATCAGGCCCCACTTCCACTCCCTGTCTTTGAGGTATGATGACGTGGTGTTCCTGGAAGTGGACGCGGACGACTGTGAACAGCTGGTGCGGGACCTGAACATCCTCACCCTCCCAACGTTTCAGTTTTACAAAAAGGAAGAAAAGGTGGGCGAATTTTCTGGGGCCCTGTTGGAACAACTCGAAGCAAGCATTGTGGAATTAAAGTGATCCTATATTCTGAGAACACTGTAAACCTGTTGATAGCCGCTTGCTTTTTAATTTGCAAAAACAAAACAAAACAGACAAACATGCTCACCTAAGTGGTTCTGCTTGCGTCTGAGAAACATGAAAGCCCACCTGAGAGAATCAAAGCTTGGAATGTTCATGATTTTGCTGGGGGGAAAGAAAAGAAAATTAGAAAGTCCCTGGGCAGAGATTGTAAGTCCTGCCATCTTCTTTTTCCATCTTGAAAATCCTACCCTCTTTGGATATTTGCAGCAACACTGGCAATGCAGGCAATTGCCCTGCAGAAATACATGCGTGGATGGCAGTAGAAAGTGCTTGTCCCATGTATTTTTCTGGTGCTTACATGTCTTTAGGGGTTTTGATTACGAAACTTCTGGAAACAAAGGGTTGGAACGAGTCGCCAGTCTTTGCTATTCTTTTTTTTTTTTTTTTTTAAGTTTTATTTTTCTCATTAGTTACATTTTGTTAATTCTGTATCCCAGCTGTATCCCTCCTTCCCTCCCCAGTCCCACCCTCAGTCTTTGCTATTCTTATGTGCTAGGAATGATACACCGGCCCAAACACTGAGACTGTTTCCGGTTTGTAGAGACCATTTTACTAATCTTTGCTCACAAAATCTGAGGCAGAATGCCAAACCAGGCTTCTCAGAAGGTAGTCATTGAGGCCGTTATGACATCAAGCCCCTGGGGGAAGAGGCCTTGAGTTGTCTCCTGGTGCCAGTTCCGGTTCTCAGGTGTCTCCAGGACTGGGTGGTAACTTGGTTCAGATATTTTGTTCTTTTAAGTAGTCTGCAGGTTTAGTCTCTGCACAGTGCCAGCCCTGCCTCACATGACAACTAGGTGGGTTTGGCTAGCATCGCTGACTTCCAGAAGTTTCTTTGCTCTAATTATTATCGCTGTTGCTGATGTTGTTCTTGCAACAAGAACATCTGACAGGAGGCCTGCCCTCAGTGAATTTTATAGTATTAGCTGGAGGCACCAGATTGCACAGCGAAGTTCCATAACTTGCCCCGTAAGATGGGTTTTTGTGCCCATTGAACAAGCTCTCATTTCCCCTGTGCTGTGCTGGCAATCACCATTTGGCTTTCTGTTGATTTAAAGTATTTTTTAAAATATCAAATATTGGTGAACATTTTAGAAGTCAGCATTCCCTCTTTAAAACATGGCAATCCAACGTTGACACTAATTCAAGAATGGGAGCCGATCTTAGGGGCTGATTGTGGGTCTCTTCACTAGGAAAGGGGCTCCCATCTTCTAGCCCTCTGCCCCAGACCCTTGCATGGCAGTCTCCCTGGTAAGTGAGTGGGACAGCCTACCATGAATCGCTCTGCACCCTTGACCCTCCTTAGAGACACCTGTCACAGGCTCCTTTGCAACAGCTGCGTGATAGCAGCAAAGGAAATACCCTCTGTGTTTGGCCTTCTTTCCAAAAGTGATTCGGAATGACCTACAAAAAGAATTAACGACAAGGTGCAAACCAGGGAAGAGGAATCAGAGGCACGAAGGGACCACTGAGGCTTAAATAACTGCACTGGTACAGTCTCTTCATCACTGGGAGAGAAAAGAGAAAGCCAGTAATCCCCTGATGCCGTGATCTGAGATAAACAGGCTCTGGAACGTGAGCAAAGGGTTCATGCTTGACACTAATGACATTCTGGGATGGAGTCTGGGAATCTAAGTGTGAACGTGGAACAACTGATGATAGTTTTGTTGAGCATTTTTCCCCCCTTGATAAACCCAGTTTGTACAGCGATAAACACGGTTTTCCTGGTAGTCTTCGGCAGAAGCTGGGGCTGCAGCTGTAAAGCCCTTCTGAGTGAGGAGACCCCAGCTTCACATTGAGCAAGCATGCATCTCTCCTGTTTTCATGCAAATAGACTTTGACTAATGCTGACTGCATCCCATCTGATTTTTTTTTTTCTAATGAAGGGAAGTTCCTCAGCTTTTGAAAATATTTTATGTATGAATGTTCTATCTGCATGGAACAGATAGAACTCTCTATCTATCATGCATATCTATTTGCCCGAATGTCAAAAGAGGGCATCAGATTCCAATTTCGATGGTTGTGAGCCACCATGTGGTTGCTGAGAATTGAACTCAGGACCTCTAGAAGAGCAGGCAGTGCTTTTATCTGCTGAGCCATCTCTCCAGTCCTTCCTCTGACTTTTATGTTCCAATTTATTCCTGTTTTCCCTTGAATAAGACTAATTTTTATTTTAGCCATCAGATTAAACACATATGCCCAGAATTTAATGAAGTAACCCAGTCTCTATGCTACTAGAATCCTGTCTGGGTAGAGTAGTGAGTCCTGCAACTCTTTCAAACTGTGTCATTCAGAGCTCCAGAGACACAGAGCTCTTCTACTGGAACTGTAGCATCAAAGGCATCTCTGAAAATGGAATATACAGGGCTAGGCTACGGTCAAGGTTTGAGAGTAAAATCCCCCAAAGGCTCGTGTTGAAATTCCTGGCTGAGAAAGCCACTTTGGGGAATGATAGAAACTTCGTCACTTGGGGGCCCATTTGGAGGAAGTGTGTCACCAAGAGCATGCCCAGGAATGACAATGTGTCTTTGGCCTTTTGCCATCCTTCTCCTTGCTTCCTGTCAGTAACGCCGTGACATGCTCCACGGCGAGGGTCCCACCACAATGCGCAGGCTTACTTCAGTTCACAGCAATGGAGCCGTCCAACCAAGGTGAAGATGAGGTTTGTCCAAAGGTCAGGGACAGGGTTGTGCTAGAGAAGTCTCTGGCTTCCCTTGAGTACATGTCTTGAGGCATAGGCTAGAACCACGACGTTCAAGGCCTTAGCAGGTACCAGATTGGAACGTGTCACCGTATGTTTCTTCCATTCGAAAGTAGTCGGGGAGTTCCTGGGTTAGGCACTAGTTACTTTTGGTATCCTAGAGCACAGGGCATCTTTCCAGCTTGTGTGATGGGTGTTTGGATCTGCTGAAATCCTCCCTGTGCTTCCCATGAAGGAGAGGGAGGAACACACAAAAAGCGGCTCAGGAATTATATTCAACTGGGATTCAGAATCATGTGGTTTCAAAAGCCAGAGAGGGCCGGGTGCAGTGATGCACACCTGTAATCCCCACACTCTGGGGGCAGAGGCTGGCGGATCTGTGTGAGTTCGAGGCCAGCCTGGTCTACAGAGTGAGTCCAGAGCAGCCAAGGCTACACAGAGAAACCCTGTCTTGAAGAACAAAACAAAACAATAATAAAGCCAGAGCGGTGTAGCCTCTGGACTGAGAATGTGATTCAGTAGCTGTGGGCTGGGACATAGAAACCCTATCGTGGTAGGCAGTGGAGGCACACACCTTTAGTCCCAGCACTCAGAGGGCAGAGGCAGGCAGATCTCTTGAGTTTGAGATCGGCCTGGTCTACAAAATGAGTTCCAGGACAGCCAGTACTACACAGAGAAACCCTGTCTTAAAAACAAAACAAACAAAAATCCAAAAAACTTTTTCCATCGTCTAGAGGAAAACCACCATACAAAATACCACTTCGCAGGCCTCACCCCGTTCCCGTATACCCTGAGATTCCTACCCACACTTCTTCCTCTTAGGAGAATGGTCTCTGGGACCACACCACATGTATTTAACCTCCCTCAGCTTCCAGAAACTCACAACCCAGCCAATTGCTACATTTTGGATTTGGAGTGTCCCCCAAAGGCCCATCTTGTTAAGGAGTTGGTTCCAAGCTTGCTGCTGTTGGGAGGAGGTGGGATTCTTTAGGAGGTGGGGACTTGTGGGAAGAATTTGGGTTACTGGGAGACATGGCCCTGAAAAAAAGCTGGAGGGAGCTGGGTTCAGCCTCTTCCTCTTTTTGTCTCCTGGCTGCTGTGAACGGAGCAGAGGACTCCGCCATAAATTCCCGATTCACTACAGTCCCCAAAGTAGTGGGACGTGTAGCCTATGGATCAAATCTTCTCAAATCTTCTGGAATTTGTGAGCCAAAAAATAAATAAATAAACCTTCCTTTTATTTTTTTTTTTTTAAGAGTTATTTTATGTGGACGAGTGTTTTGGCTACACACACACACACAGTGCCTGGTGTCCATGGAATTTAGAAGAAGGTGTCATATCTCCTGGAGATATCCCACCTCTTGGGGGCTAGAACCAAGCCTGGGTCCTCAGCAACAGCAGCAGAGTTCTCACCTCCGGGGGCATCGCTTCGGCACCCGAACCTTCCTCTAAAAGTTGACCATCTCAGATATTTTTCTCATAACAGTGGAAGCTGGCTGACATACCCAGACCCGGTCATTCCCTCTGCAGCATTTTCTTCTTCACCCCCAGTTCCTCTGTTTAATTTCACCACCTGGAAAGAAGGATGCAGAGCACACATGAGTCCCTGTAGCCCAAGTTCCATAGGAAAGGCTAGAGTTGTGGATCCAGTTTCTATCCGGTAGTGGCTGGGGCAACAGAATCGCTTCTTGTGCCCGGGGCTGCCTGCACGAAGATGGCTCTCCTCCTCCTCGGGAGCATCTGTGATGACTGCCGCTTTTCCTGTGGAGTCAGGAAAACAAGCAGGGGTGCAACTCATCACACACAGAAGGCAAAGTTGTGGCCCTGGCCTCTGCTCGAAGAGAGAGTTATTAAAAGCCAACTGGACTAGCAAACTGAAGATCCCTGCCATCCACAGTGGAGGGGGGAGAATTTTTGAATTCTAAAAGTTGACCAACAAATGTGAACTATGGCACACATACACACCCCAATAACAATTTTTGAGACAGGGTTTCTCCGTGTAGCCTTGGCTGTCTTGGACTCGATTTGTAGACCAGGCTGGCCTCAAACTCACAGAGATCCACCTGCCTCTGCCTCCTGAGTGCTGGGATTACAGGCTTGCACTATTGCACCTGGCATTTTTTTAAAGGTTGACCAGCAAGAATAAAGGAGGCATCTTCAAGTCGCCTCCGTAGGTGTTTTTGTTTTTGTTTGACTTTCAGGAATTGATGGGTCTGTTAATCAAATCTTTGGATTTGAT